TCTGCGTCCCAGTTTGCTTCATCAGCTTTTCCTTAACTCTGAAAATTAATAAAAGGTACTACTATAATGGAAACTTAACATCTAAATTCGGGTGGATCCAAGCTGAGCCCTAGTCACTCTCACATTCGCATGCTGTCCGAATCTGGGTCAAGATGGCATGCTCCAAGTTAGTTCTGTTGCTACACATCTGTTTCACACATAAATCTTTGTTGACTTAACTGATAACAGTTTGCATTTTTTGGAACTCACACCACAGTGTTCACTAAGATTACTCTCTATACTCTACAAGTGAATTTACATTTTGTTCCATTTCTCAGTGTGTGCTTCCAATTCTTCAGAGAAGCTAGAAAAAGACAAAGAGGAACCAGAAAAGGAAAGACAGACTAAAAAGAAAGCAAAAAGTGCTCCAAAAAAGAAAAAAGGTAAGTCAGCAATGACTGTAATATTGAGTTTTCACTGGGACGTGTTAAAGCTGGGGTGTGTTTCCTATACAATGACACTTTAAGTAACTCCCACAAAAATACGCCATGAGTGCACTGATTTCCATTACTATAGATTCAGACTCAGATGATGACGATGAAGAGGACGGTGAAGATACTCCGAAAAAGAAAACTAAGAAAAAAACAACCAAGGATAGTTCTCCACCTGCAAGTTCCACCCGAGAGAAGAAAACTAAAACTAAAGGTATGACGATGAGGAGAAGAAAGCTGTTGTCTAAAGGGCGTTAATGGTGTGCTCTAAACAGAAGTTATATGACCAGATTGTAATTAAGAGGATTAGATGATGTTATTGTGTAATGGCGTGTGAGCCATTTAGTGGAAACACTTCCTTACTTGGCTGTGTTGTCACATAATAATGAAGTAAGTGGTTTTCCTCTAAGTAATTAACTGTGGAAAATGTAATTAATTATTGCAGCATGATGTTACACACCAGCATGTTTTTGAAGTAAGTGAATAAAAAATTCTGAATAAATAAACAGAATAATTAATCGGAAAACTGAATCAGTGAAATAATCCAAACAGAACTGGATTTTTGATGTGAAGCCATGTTTTCTAAGAGATATTTTCTTTATTCCATCCCATCATCACTTTCAGGTGTTGCTAGAATGTGGATATTTTTAGTCCTGCTAACAGCATGGCTTTAGCAGTGTGAGTCATTCAGTAGGTCTGTCCACAACTTTTATCCAGATTGAACAAACTACTTAATCTACTGTGGATTCCCAGATAATGTGTCCAAGTGAACCTTAAGTTTGACATTCTTGTGGTTTTATGTTGTGGCATCACCATATAAAATTGCACTTGTTGCTATAGTATTGAGTGCTTGAACAGAAGGCAGCTTGACATCTTTTCAGTTCATTGCGATGTTTTAGTTCTTCAAGACGCTTCAGTTCTCAAAAAACTCCCAGGTATTTAACCCCCAGTGATGGCTGTCCTCTTGGAGGTGATCCTAATGGTGACTGACCCACTGTTAATCATGTGAGTCATCATGATGTGAGCCAAGATGTGAAAAAAGGCGTGGGTCATTGCCATCATCGGGGTCAAGGTGTGAAACCTTGCACCACATTGTCTCACCCCATCATCATGAGAGCTTTTGTGGTTTCTTGAGGCAAGGTGTAAGTGGGGCTTGAAACATCTGGGAAGGGATCACAAGATTACGTTGGAGCTGATAGTTGGTGTTGTATGGTAGAATGTGAGGTTTTTGTTCTTGTAGGCTTCCTCCGTTATTTTAGAACTGACACTGCAGGCTGACACTGTGAACATGTTAAGGTGTAAACATGAATACTTTACTCAGGGCGCTTATAACCTTCTCCCACCAGTCTTTGCTTCTGTTCCCTTCATTTATTTGCCCAGTGAATCTGAGCATAAGATATTTGGAAATGATGTTGCTATAATTATTCCCAAAGCGCTCTAACTCACCTGTTTGTCAAGAATTTTGCAGTGAGCTGGTTTTAGCAGGACTCATTCTTTGATTGCAGAAATGAACTATTGGCTCAAATCTCTGCATGAGATACAGTATTTATAATAGAAGATTGGCCACACAATTAGTTATGTGATCAATCTCAAAATGCTCTCCAAAGCATTTTGTCACCTTTCACCTCATTTTGTTTTTTCTGCTTGCAGCTTTAATAGTTTTGTTCTGGTTGTCCTGTTGTCAGCTTTCCTTGACAGCTCTAAAACTCACTGTGCACTCTTGCTCAGTCACAAACAACAGGAACAGTGAACTTGTGAAAATAGTGGAAATTTAAAAAGAAAAAAAAAACAGCCAGACATTATCCTCAAGATACAGTAAATATTTGGTAACTGTAAGCTTAACTCTTAAGTGAATGCTAATGTTACTCTGTAATTTACTTGGCAGGGAGTTAGAAAGGTTTTTACCAGTGTAGCTGTGCATACCACGGATGTTTAACTATGTTTTTTTAATCCCCAAAGTTCAACACTGCCAAAAACATTCAGGGAGGACTAACAACTTTTAGCAGTCTAAACGGGAGTAAGTCTAAACGGGAGGGCATGTTGGGACAAATTCGTCATTGTGGAAAACGTTTTAAGAGGAAGCACTGAGAGTGTTACGAGTGTAATCGAGGTTCTGAGAATTTGCTCCACAGATTTGCGCAAGGAATTTGTTCAAATCCTTCACTTCACTTTGATGTCCTCCCAGTTATACACTCCTTGTTTTAGCAGCTTGAATCCTATAAAGGTAAACAAACTGAGGGCTAAAATATGTCGTCTGCGTCCCAGTTTGCTTCATCAGCTTTTCCTTAACTCTGAAAATTAATAAAAGGTACTACTATAATGGAAACTTAACATCTAAATTCGGGTGGATCCAAGCTGAGCCCTAGTCACTCTCACATTCGCATGCTGTCCGAATCTGGGTCAAGATGGCATGCTCCAAGTTAGTTCTGTTGCTACACATCTGTTTCACACATAAATCTTTGTTGACTTAACTGATAACAGTTTGCATTTTTTGGAACTCACACCACAGTGTTCACTAAGATTACTCTCTATACTCTACAAGTGAATTTACATTTTGTTCCATTTCTCAGTGTGTGCTTCCAATTCTTCAGGCTATCACATTTAAGAATAGACAACATTTCTATTAAACTATATACTTTTTTTCCTTAGATGACAAAGATTCTGATGGAAAAGAAAAAAAATCCAAGTCAAAGGAAAAAGACAAGAAGAAGGAACCAGCTTCAATGTTCCAGATAAATGAAGACAAAAACTCAAAAAGCAAAAAGAAAGGTGATTGCATTTTTTAAACTGACGAACTGTAAAACTCTGTCTTTGTTTACTTTACCAAATGCTTTGCCGCATAGCATCCATCTTGATGCTTGATGTTAAAATGACAAAAATTGAGACACTTTACACTTGTTTACTGAACAGCGGCCAAATCGGAAAGTGATGACAGTGAAGAAGAAACAAAGTCAACCAGATCAAAGAAAAAATCCAACTCCGGCTCTGCATCGATGTTTCAAACATCAGCAGATAAGGACAAAGACAAGAAGACAAAGAAAAAAGGCAAGTTTATTACTAAAGCTTTCCTCTGTTGTATTCACAGACGCGCGTATAACAGCTCTGTTGTTTTTTTCAGCAAAGGCAGACGAAAGCAATGATTCTGAATCAGAAAAAGAAGAAAAAACAAAGAAGAAGAAGGGCAAAGGGAAGAAGAAAAAAGTATCTGACTTCAAACAAATCAACCACAACATTTTAGTCACTTAATGTCATATTACACTTTAACTTTCACTCAGAGTGGACCATGTTTTAAAATGTTCTTATCTATTCTTCTTTATCAGGAGCGCTCTCCCTCACCTGAAATTGAATTTGACAACTTGGAGAAGTTTGTAATGGAGCCAGCTCCGCAGGGTGTGACTGTGAAATGCAGAGTGACTCGGGATCAGAGAGGGATGGATAAGAGCCTCTACCCTTTGTATTACCTTCATCTAGACAATGAAAAAAAGGTCAGTATCATGTTTTAAAAAGTTGCAAAATGCAGACCAAAATTGTAAACACAGTACAACAGCACGTTCAGTAGTTCTCCTTTCATTTATTAATTTTGATTACTGTTATCATGGACAGTTGTCATTTGTCGGTGTCTTGTCCCCCCCCCCCTTTTTTTCTTTCTTTCTTTGTAGACGTTTCTACTGGCTGGACGGAAGAGAAAGAAAAGTACAACTTCAAATTACCTCATCTCCATCGATGCCACAGATTTATCAAGAGGAGGCGAGAATTTTGTGGGAAAGCTGAGGTAAAAGGATTTTTGTTTAAATTGCAAAGCGGGTAAACAAACTGTCACATATAAAGTATTAATTAGGTGCATTTTAACTGAATGTGTTTTATACATTGCCCAGGTCAAATTTAATGGGGACTAAGTTCACTGTGTTTGACAACGCTGTGAATCCAGAAAAAGCTCTTCCAGACATGTCTAATGCTCGGCAAGAGTTAGCAGGCATCATCTACGTAAGTCATTTTACTGCAGAACGTTTAACTACAGTATATTGTATGAATAATAAGAACTGTATTTGATTTTGTTTTGGTTATTTCTGACAACAGGAAACCAATGTCTTGGGAATAAAAGGACCCAGAAGGATGACTGTCATCATTCCAGGAATGAGCAAAGACAACGAGCGAGTACCCCTCCGACCAAGAAATGTAAATTCATTGTAAATGCAATCATATAAAACACCAGTTCAATGAGGGCAAAAGATAAAGGCCTATATGAAAATTCAATATGAATTGACTAGTCATAGTTTTTGTTTTGTTTTTGAAATGAAAAGTAAATTCACTCCTTGCTTAAATCTGATATTATAGTCACACAATCTTAAGTCACACAATCCTGGAGAGTAAGTGGAGGCCTGAGGAATGGAGAAATGTACTGGTACTGATTTTTAAGAGTTATGGTGATGTGCAAAGCTGCAGTAAGTACAGAAGGAATAAAGCTGATGAACCATACCACGAGGATATGGGAAAGAGTTGTTCAAGCTAGATTAAGTAGGGAGTTGATAATAACTGAGCAGCAAATATGGTTTTATATTATGAAAGAGCACAACAGATGCAATATTTGCTTTGAGAGTGTTGATCGTGAAGTGAAGTCCAGGAGTTTTACTGTGTTTTTGTTGATCTAGATATGATAAGTTGCCAAGAGAATAGTGGTGCAACGGATCACGGTTGATCCGTAATCCGAACCGATCGCACTCCACGGTTCGGGACGCACGTGATCCGAAGATTCAAAAAAGAAGGAAAAAAGTATGTGTATGGTGCACGTGGTCAGTCTGTCAAGTGATAGTTATGGCCAGCGCTGGTGGTCCAAGTGGAGCAGCCCTTTGCTGCCCAGTCCGATCGGGCTAAAGCTATTACAAAAGCTACTGGGGTGTTTAGCTGCAGACGGGAGGCCGTATTCCCTTGTGCAAAACAAGGGGTTTAAACTATGATGAACGTGCTTGAGCCACGCTATGATATCTCGTTGCGCGTCAACTTCAGTGACAAGATTGTACCAAGGCATGTATGAGCAGGACAAGTTTAAAGTTATGGCTGAACTGTCCCAGGCATCTTCTGTTGCCCAACTACAAATGGGTGGACCTCCAGGTCAACGGAAAGCCCTGTACTGCCCTATACTGCACCTTAATTTGTTTTTATATAATTTCGTGGAATGAGTCTTGAGCTGAATGTTTTTAACAAGCAAACAATTTTGTCTTTTTTTTCTTTTTTTGCTGATCCAAAAATTGATCCGATCTGTGACTTAAAACCGTGATCCGATCCGAACCGTGAGATTTTGGATCCGTTGCACCACTACAAGAGAAGAACTGTGACATTGCATGAGGAAGGCAGAAGTGGTAGAGAATTATGTGAGGGTAGTGCAGATGGATTCAAGGTGTCTGTGGACTATGATATTTACAGAGGCCATTGTGATTTGTAGTGAGGGAGCAGATAGAAGAGAGTTTGGAGAGGTGGAGGTGTGCTGCGGAGAGAAGAGGAATGAGACAGAGAGAGCTTACTACGTGTTCTAACTCTGCACTCTTGTGCAGTCAAGCGTAACACCCAACAACTAAGATTAGTTTTGTTTCTAAAGAATGCAGATAAATAACTGTAATTTGTCATCTTAATCATTAGAATAATAATGTGCTTTACTATTTTTCTGCTTTCAAGCAAAAACAATAATTTTGAATATTCACAAATGACTTGTTAAGCCTTGTCTATAGCATTAAGAGCAACACAAGGCCAGTGGGAATGAACTATTTGATGTTGACGTTTACCACTTATGTTTTGTTAATTCTTTGCAGGAATGTGATGGCTTGCTGATAAGATTCCAAAACAGAAGGATGGAAAATCTGATCGAGCTTCACAACAAGACGCCTGTGTGGAACGAAGAGACGGCATCTCATGTGCTAAACTTCAATGGCAGGGTCACCCAAGCCTCCATCAAGAACTTCCAGATCGTCCACAACAAAGATCGTGAGTGGCTTTTGCTTGTCCACAACTACTATATGTTAAATAGTTGGGCAAAGAAATGAAAAGCAGTTTACTGGCAATGCATAAAACAACACAAAGATCTACACAACCTAAATGAGTATCTACGTATTACTGCTGACAATGTCCATCTCCCAATAACCACAGTATATCCTGCAACCAGCAGAATAATGTGCCATGCCACAAAGTTCAAATCATCTGAGAAATTATTCCTTGAAGAATACAGTGAGTTCAGTGTACTGAAATTGCCTGCACAGTCCCCAGATCTCAATCCACCAGAGCACCTTCGGGATGTGGTGGAACATGAGATTTGCATCATGGATGTGCAGCCGGCTGCATTATGTTATGTCAATATGAAATAAAATCTCTCTAATAAAATCGTAGTTAACCTAACCCCATGCATGTGTTTGGACTGTGGGAAGGTGCTGGAGGAATTGAATTGAACCCATGCACGCATGGCGAGAACATGTTAAGGTGTGCACTGGGGGCAATATTGTTAACCACTGCATTGCTGTGCTGCCCCACAAGGAATTAGGCAGTTTTTAAGCCAACAGCAGGCCTAACCTGGTACTAGCAAACTGTACCTAATAAAGTGGCCAGTTAAATTATGTCTCATAAGACAGACATTGGTCAGTGATTATTTTACTTCTGCCTGTACAACCCTTAGATACAATTTTTAAAAAAAGATTTCTTCTGAAATTTAGAACTGCAGTTTTTCATATTTGAAATTTCTTATTTATGCCAAATGTTTTGTTTGTTTGTTTGTTTGTTTGTTTTAAAATCCCAAGTCAATTTTGAAGTTTATATGCTGAACTTGCTTTACAGTCTTTAGACTGACCAAGCAGTTTATGCAGAATAAACGAATATGGGGATTCAGCTTGAATATTTTATTACTTCTAAGTACGTACATTGCCATGATCCATCTTATTAACTCCCTGCCTGCCTACTTACGTACCTACCTACCGAAACACTACCTATTTATTTATTAAGATAATTGCTCCATTAATGAATTCTTTTGCTTTTTCCAGTGGACTACATTGTGATGCAGTTTGGACGAATCGCTGATGACATTTTCACACTGGATTACAACTACCCGCTTTGCGCTGTGCAGGCCTTTGCCATCGCACTTTCCAGCTTTGATGGCAAAATCGCTTGTGAATGACACACAAGTCTTCAGTTGTGGACTCACACTTAAACCAGCATGCAACAAACCCACATTCACATCAGATCAACCCAGCGTCTTTGGACTCGCCTACACTTCCTGTGATAGGTGTCGATAACAGCAATGGTTCCTCAAATGTGACAATACCTGCTGTTGTGCTGCTGTTATCCGTGTGAGTGCCCCCAGGTGTAAGACACAAAATTGTTGTCATGTTATCGTCTGATCTTGCATGACATGGTGCAGAAGAATCCTCTGTTTTTCATTCTCAGTATTTCACTGCAATCATCTGAACTTCTGGGAACTACAGAAAGACACACCATTGGGAGTCCAGTGACTGGAGAGTTATGTTTCAGGGAGATAATTGTACACCTCATTTATGAAGGTGTTTGAAGACTACTAACATCATTAAAGGATGTTAAACCGTGAATTTATTTTTTTGCTTTGTTGTGCTTTGACGTATTGTGTTGCTGTATAGCGCCAATTTTTTGTGTCAAATGTGACCGCAGAAACACCAAATTACAATAAAAATATTTCTCTTTAGGGCAAAATGAAAATTATACTTTGTGACAGTAATCATCTGCACAAAAGACACACTTTTATTTTAAGTTTATTCAATTTTATTTAGTGACTGTGAAACCGTTTTGTGTATCTGTATATGTTAATATACACATAGGTGTGAAAATCTTTTTTCTAGGCATGTACGTTACGTTTCTACAAATATATATGTTTCTAGATAACTGGCTCTAATGTGAACTCCTGTAGGTTTTTGTATGTTGTCTTTTTTAATTTCTTTATATTCATAAACATTGCCTTCGCTGCAGGCTTATGGGAATAATTCAAATGAATTAAATTTCCTTGTTAACTAAATCGCTTTGAAGTCAGCTTGTATAAATGTATGTTTTTGTCATGTTTTTGTGGTTGTCATTTTTTTATCTTTTCTTGTCGCCCTGATTCACAGTAACATAGTAAATTTAGAGTGCTACTGACTGTTTGCAGATGGTCAGTACCACTCAGTACCCCCACAGAATTACAAGACATGCAGGTTACCCCAATCCTTCTTCCAACCCTACAAATGGTGTTTTAATGGGTGTTTAAAAAAAAAATAAAAATCTGTTAGAAGAGATATTTATAAAATATGTTTTATAGTTCTATTTTCTCATGCGAGAGAGCGCTTGGCAGATATTTAGTCACATTCCAGTTTCCAGTTTTACAAACACCCACGATTTTCTTCAGTTGCCTGCATGTTGAGAGGAGCTTCACTCAGCATGGAAAAACCTGTTTGAACCGAGGGCCTCCAGAGTAAGTGAGAGGTGTGTATTCTGCCTGAACCTGCTCAGGCAGTTGTCCAGACTCGCAAATTAAATGAAGCCTGGCAGCTCCTCTGGAGAGATGCTGTAAGGTGAGTTCTTCCTACCCCATTGTTTTTTTCTGTAATGTGAGCAATAGTTAAACAACTGCCAACATTATTGTAGTCATGCTGATACATTTGTACTCTTAGACACAATGTGTGAAAATGACTGTACACTACTGTCTTATATGTGTGTGGTGTATAAACGTTCATAATCTAAAAATGTTGCAACCATGTTATTGACCAACAGAAGGAGCTGTTGCTGGATGGAAAGGTGTGAGTGTAAGCTTATAAGATTTACAGTGATACACACATGGTTACTAGTTAAACCCTCTTTCCAGTAAATAAGCGATAATACGAGGGAGAGCAATATTCATAGTTTCTATGGGAATTTAGTGTAATATGAGCATTTACAGCGTATATTTGTATAATTGCATGACAAATGTATTATTATTTGTATAGTTAGACTAAAATGTGAAAGTAAAACTACAACAAAGACTGTTACAGATTACACTCACTAATTGGCTATATACTTGAGGTAATTATACAATAAATGCCAAGAAAATACTATATAATATAATATTAATATAATATAAAATATTCCATTACTAGTAAAGGTCTCTGTGTGTGTGTCTTTGTGTCTCTCTGTCAATAACATTTAAGCAGTAGTAATGCTCCTTCTGATTCTCATTCTCATTTATGGGAGCTTTAAATTACTCTCTGTGAGTTATGCAGGTTTGGCTGCATTAATGTCAACATCTGTTAGGGGAAAATTAAAGTAACAAAATTCTAGGGGGGAAAAGAAAACTGTGTTCCTCACATGAAAGTTGTCTAAGAGAAGGATTTGCATTTAAACTGTTGAGAATAATCAAAACCTTAGACTGGATGACATATTCTAAATAATGTTAGACAATATTTTAGTACTTTTTTCAAATATAGTAGGTTTTTTTTTTTTGCATATACTAAGATCTAAGAAAATTATAAGAAGAAAGAGGAAGATGTCAAATGGTTGAATGACAATGAAGCTGAGTCTGTTATCTATTTCTAACTAAAGCTTTTCATAATACATCATTTGTATATTTGTAGTATTTCTCCATTATTAAGTACCAAACATCAAGCTGAGGTTTCTGTTCTTTAGATTTGAAGAAAATTAAATATCAACATAACCAGACGCACAGAGTAAACCATTGAATGTGTGCTGTTTGTTCTGTGTGACATTGAGATGGCATCATTTTTCTATTGAGTGTGTAGGGGACCTTAACATTTTCTTTTTCTCTGTCTTACTGTAAAATTAAGACTAAAATTAAGTTCCGAGGCAACATGAAGGTGACTCCATCATTTAGTAGTGAACATATTCGCCTTACATGCAAAAGATTCCTGCTTTTAGAATGAGAGAAGACATAAACCCAGCCTTAGGGGGTCACGAGCCCAGGTAATCATTTATGTGCCAGAAGGGGCATCCAATGTGAAATCTGTGCCAAATCAGATATGCATATCCATCGCTTGTGGTCGCCTCTTGGGGATGAGCCAGCAGGTGAAAATACCTCCAACATATAAATCCAATTTATTCAGTAGTGATTAGTAGTGATGTAATTTGTTGTGATCTTCTCTGTTCTGTTTATATTTATATACTATACCATATTATCTCATCTTTTTATCACTAATATTTTGGATAGGATAATATTTCCACATGTAACTAACTGCACAATTTTCCATTTTAAACCCTATATGTTATTATTTAGAAAATTTTAAAAATTGCATTAAGGTTTTGAAACATTAAATATTCCATGTTTCTTTAAAGTTATCTACAGTAATAAAACATAATAATAATAATGTTTTAGAAAGATTCATTTAAAGACTGTTCCAGTGTTTTTATATAAAGCCACGGAGTCTTTTATGTAAATGCCCTTTATATATTTCCTACCTTTGACATATTTCTGCGAGTGTATGTACTGCCAGACTGGTTTTTCGGACAAGAGTTTCCAATCAGCGTTCAGGGATTTTGTGGGCGGGGCCTGCGGTGAAGTCACTACCCCCCCCTCCAAAACCTTGTTGATTGACGCGCACCAATGGCTCCTCCTTGAAAGTCTTTTTTTTCCCTCCCCCTTCGTTTTCCAGTGTAGTGCGTTGATTTCATACCAAAGTCATACTTAACATTCCACTTATACTGTCAAACCTCTGAGAAATATTAAGGAAAACAACAGCGCGCCAAAATATAACAAAGTTACTGAATTGATCAGTTTCCCCCACTGAGGAGAATAAGCTGACTGCAAGAATAAAAAGGTAAGTCTTCCACAAATGTTCCCTCTTTCTGTCCACAGCCTTTTTTCTGGGAAGTTTTTTCATGCCGCTTGTCTCGGTGAAGTTTTCAGATCATTGTCATTTTTTACATTTTTCCGCGGAGCTCCCTGCGTTGGGAGGGAAGAAAACATTTGCAGTTTGATACTGTATTGTGTTTGACTTTCCCAGTGTGCATGGATATCTTTGACAGCCTATGTGCAATCATATTTCCACCGGTAGCCCGCTCATTGGCACATACTTTTACCTAAAAGAAAAAAAAAGAAAAGAAAAAGGTTTTCTCGTTTGACAGAAGGAAATGGGAAAAACATGTTTGTTTTCTGTCCCGGACAGTTCATACCTGGATCCAACTCTTCCAGCCTTGCTCCTCAAGAAGAATCCAACAGTTTTACAGACAAGCACGGAGAGAGACGATTTGGACGAAAACGTTTTAGAGGAATACACAACATCAGCGTGATTTGGACCTCTGCATCACTAAGGTAAGACAGCTTCTTGATTAGGAAGCGAGGTTAAATAAATTCTGGAGGTCTTGTTGATGCTTCCTACATGGAATTACAAATACAGAGTAGTTTTCTTGATAACGCCTAAACAAACCAAGATTATCTCATATAAAAGTGTGTGTGTGTCAGCTCAGCTACGTCTGCTTTCGCTTTAGCTCTTGCCGGGCAGACTGTGAACAACATTGCAGTATGTTAATACATTTTTAAGACTAAATTTAAATCAAGCATTTTTTTTCATCAAAACACTCACAAATTAATATGAATGATTTTTAAATGGTTTGCAATGAATCAAACCATTTAAAGCTTTAGATTAGAAAACCAAAGCTTTTTTTTCCAGTCACATCTGGAATTACACCTTAAATCTAAATTTATTTATGTACATGCATATTGAGGTGTACAAGACTATGCAGTGTAAACCACAGAATAAAAGTTGTTATAGAAAGTAACTATCTGTCTATCTATTTAACTATCTGTCTATCTATGTAGTTCTTTGTTCTTGACTTTTTCAAACGTGGCATGTGATGATACACTGCAAAGTCCTTCTAAGTACATAATTCATAGGTGAGGATTTGAGATGCATGGATACGTAGCGAGCTAATTGTATAATTATATGAGTGCCACCTCAGGCTACACCTGCTATACAACTGTGTGTGGTTAGTAGAGACCTAGGCGAAAATAATATGTGTCCGTTTTGACAGAGCCAAACGTTGGCACCTCCTTTATCCTAAGTTTGCGTGGTCATATGAACTGCACAGTTAAATCACTGACAGTCAACACGTTTGACTCAACGGCAGAATGCGGTCTGTCAGGTTGGTCGCTGTTAGCAGAATAACCTGTTAACGTCTGTTACTGTTTCCTCTGCAGCATTTCCTAAAATTCAAGGCAGAAGGAAAGCCTTTCTCTTTTTTTTTCTTTCACATCATTGTCTTTCATAAACACAGTTGTAAATTAAAGTATGACATTGATTTGGTGTAGCCCTTTAAGCCCGCTCTAAAGCCTTTTAAAGCAGAAGGATAATCGGCTATCAAATAGGGTGTCTCTTTTCTTGCTGTCACGTTAGGTCATGGTTGAGAAGCCAGATCTCCAGTTTGGGGCCTGCTTAAGACCTACATGTGGAAATGTTCTGAAATGAAACACCAACATGAACAACCAAACAATGTGCCCTTGGTAAATGAGACACGCCAAGATGCCTAATAATAGATTTTGATGCTGATGGGTAAATCTGGAGAGGATTAAGCATTCTGCTGTTCCGTCAGATTCTCTTTCATTGTTTTCATGCAGCCTGAATACATCAGGCCTCCCACTGTACAATGTGGTCTTTTTTTTTTCCTTGAACATACTTTATATTTCTTAGCAATTGCGGATTCAGCATTTACACTTTGTACTTGTGTAGGAGTTAAATTAAGGGAAAGTTTTATAGCTTTACCATGTCACGGAGGTCAATTAGATTACTTGTGGTAGTATCCCCTAAAAGTGGCTGTTTTCTCTCCTTTTTTCATCCCCAGCTGTGTTCCTTCGGGCTGTTTATTAGAGGGAAGAGTTAATGAGCATGTGTTCTCTTCATTAGGGTAACAAATCAATCCCCTTATGTTTTTGATTTTTCTTTTTAAATATGCTTAATCAGAAACTGTAGCTACTATAGGTATTTCAAATTATTTGTGGTGTAGGGCTAATTCCAGTGGTGAAGTGCATCCTGTGTTTGCGCTGCAGAGAGTTTACTTTGGATGCAGGTCTGTTGACCGTTTGTCAGTAGCAGCTTCACCCGTTTGTGTCAAACCCACAGAAGACCAGCTAATGAGCTTTTGCCCATTTGTGCAGACATTGGTCGCTTTTTAGCACCAGTTTCAGAAGTTCTCGTCCAAATGGTGGACACTTTTGTCTCTGTCAACCCAGACCTGAACAAATACCACTTATGTCTGTGCGGTGAGGACACAAAGAGAAAAGCCTGCAGCTCTCAGCAGAAAGGCATTAATGATGATCTGGATTACAATATGCAGTTTGACACTGTCAGCTAGTAACGGCTGGACTGAGCTACTTGTTGGAGTCATAGAGCCAAAAAAGAAAGTGTCAAAATAGAATTCACTTTGACAGTCCTCAGTAATGCAATTTATCAACATTTTATTCACATTAATTCACTGCACATGTTTACATATCCTCCAAACCATGAGGTTTGAACAGATAAGCTTTCTGGCCTCCTCTTCAGACCACTGAGGGGAGGAGCTGGGGAGTGGCTGAGAACAGAATACTCTTTGTGTCAGATGTCCCCAAGTTGCTAAAGGTTTTAGTTGTTCTTCCTCTGGCAACCAAGAGTTAGCAATGTTCCACATTTCTTTACTCGAAAGAAGAAGTACTCAGAAAGAAATGTTATTTGTGACAATGTCTGTCTCCTCTCCAGCCTCCATTATAAATAACAGGAGGCTTACTCCTGCACTACTTCATAAAGTGTCTGTGTGTGTGTGTGTGTGTGTGTGTACAACTTATCGACTGCCTATAACCTACTCGCTACCATTGTACAAAATACATCGTGGGTGTGTGTGTGTGTGGTGTGTGGTGTGTGTGTGTGTGTGTGTTGGTTGTGTGTGTGTGTGTGTGTGCTGTGTGTGGCCTGTGTCGCACTGGAGCTCCAGTGACCCAAGGGCACTCATGTGAAACTCCTTTAATCCCTGTGCTCAGTGTTTTGGGTTGGGGGATGATCTCCCTCTGCAGCACAGTTCATTTTAGTTGCTCCTAATATAAAACATCACAGGTGTAGTCGTTTTTAGGCTGATTAAACTTTTGTCTTCAACAGAAGAACAAGTTTAACCTTTGGGTGTGCTTTTTATGTAAGATTGGAGTTTTTTTTCCCCCTTGTGATACAGCTCGTATACAGCTCTGATCACAGCCGTGGCTGCTTTTAAATGCCTTGTGCCACGATTTATACGGTTGCATGAATTATTGGCTGGTGCATTCTGCTGCAAAGTTATGCATGTCTTAAAGGTTTCACAGATTATGGCTTTAAACCGCTCCTCTCACCACAAAATGACCAATTCAGGCTAGAATGGCTTCTCTGCTACGTTCCCCAGAAAATTTCCGATTAAAATGCTGATTCAGGCTGTAAAGAAGAAAAAAAAAAAAAAGCTCTCTGGCTTTCTGGCCCTGCTTTGTGTCAGTCTTTCCCTTTTCAGCTGGATTAGGCTTAAATCTCTGAACGTGTCACAGTTCAAGGTAGACCAAATAGCCAGCAGCATCCAGTGTTAAAATAGAACAACAAATGAATGAATCGGGCCTTATGTTCATGCTGTGCCTTGACGTGTGATACTCATTTATCCGCCTTAGACTCTGTGACTCATAGGAAACCAGCCACCTCTTTTTGCCTCCATGCAGCATGTTAGTCGGTTTCCATGCTATGTGAAATGATTAAAAGAAAGCAATAAATAATAGTCATTTCTCTTCATTTTCATGGTGTAAATAATCGAGGAATGTGTGCCAGACACTTCCAGCTCAGATCGCTTTCTTTTCTGCGTGCAAGACGTTATTCTGAGCCTTATTTTTCTCCTCGGGCAGGCAGCTGGTATCAAACTGCAAATGTCTGACTTGACAGAGTGTGTATGTGGTACGTGTGTGTTCATGTGTTTGTCTTAGCTTTTCCCTCTGCCTTTCTTTCTGTCTCTTGCCGTGTGAGCTGTTGGCCGTCCAGCCCTCCTCTCACTCTCAGCTCTGATTGTTTCCTGAGTGCCTTGCCAGATAGGAAGTAGGAGGAAGTTATTGGAGGAGCTGGAGAGAATTTATTAGGGCCAAACACAGACACAGAAGGGAGAGGGGAAGGTGGTGACTGATTTTTTTTTTCTTTTTTTTTTTTGGAAGATGGGCTCGTGCTTTCATGAGTCTTAAAAAGGCAGTGGTGCCTTCAGCAAACGCAGAGAGCACACAGCTTGACACTTGTGCCAGCTCATCACCTTAGATTTATCTCCTAAATGAAGGAGCAGTGCTGCAGTTAAACATGTGCATATGTGTGTTCTGTGTCAGGAGGAATAAGGCCATGTTTCTAGCTCTTGTCAGAGAGCAGCTTTCCTGGCCCGGAACCTAAAATGTTTTCTTTATCTGTAATCTGACCTTAGAGAGCAGCTGCTCCTTCTGCCGCCAAGACCTGTTGTTTCCCCTGTTAAATGTGTGTGTGTGTGTTTGTGAGACTGTTGGTGTGTGTGGTGGGGGTCTCACTTTGAACGAGAGCACTGACCCTACAGCTGTGAGCACCCTTCAACCTTAACAAGATGTGTGCTTCTCTAATGTGGAGGAGTTTGGGTCTGTGATTTGTAACTGTGTATACACGAGACTTTAAGTTCAGTGGAGGTGTGTTTTACTCCCAGCTAAGCGGGGGGGCTTATGTCTGCCAGTAGGGGCCTGTTCTTTGCCAACAAGTGTCCCAACTCTTACAGCAACTAAACAAAGACTTCATTTATAACGACAGGAACAAATCTTGTAGTGTACAGATGGAAGAATATACAATCCGACTGTGAGCAATGACAGAGAGACATGCAAACACAACAGGCTTGATGGATCAACAGTGGAAGAGACAGATTTGAAGGAAATCTGTTAACAATCTGCTTTGGGACATGAGTCAGTAGAACTGAGTCATGGGGTGTACAGAGATGTGAACAGATGAAGGAAGCTGATCCTTTCATGGTGCTTTGTTTGTGCTTTATCCGAAAAAAAAACAATAATAATACAAACGATATGCACTACCCCAAGTGGCCAAATGAATCAGATGTACTAACATTACAGCCAAAATAGGTTTTTGCATCCTGGTATTCAGCTAGTGAGGTTTATAAATAACTTCATTCTATAAAAAATTATGGCTGACACACTGAAACAAAATCCTAAAGCAAATACGCGTGTTGCATTACATACACCATCATTTTGATAAGGCATGTAGAATTTTTTGTTTAAAAAATAAAAGGAAAACACCTGTAAAGATATATTGCAAATATATCTAATGGCTG